ATTCAACCTTTATTTAGACAGGTTAATCCCATTGAACCTCGAGGACTCATTCACAAGAGAGACCTGATTTCAACAAAGAATGATGACAACAATGGACAACAGCAACAACAATAGACAGTTATAAAAAGGCATAAAGGTTGATTTTTTTTTTTTACAAATTAAAATAAGATGGCAAAAAAAGTAGCAAAAACAACTAGATTATAAGGTGAATGTAGTAAAATAAAAACAGCAACATGTCTGCGTTGGTTTTTGCCAGGAGTCCAACAGATTCTTAAAGCCACTTAGAGAGGCCAAGGTCGGGAGCTTCAGGTCTTTTTGTAAGATATTCCAGGAAACAGGAGCGGAGTAGGAGAAGGCCCTTTTGCCTAGTTCAGTCCACACTGAGGGAACACTGCAGGTAATAATGTCCTGAGAGCGCACGCTGTAGCTGCACTCACGCAGAGACATGTAGGAGGAGATGTATGAAGGCAACAGATCAAGAAGTGATTTAAAGATGAAAATGTACCAGTGGGAGAGTCAACGTGAAGTTAAAGATGTCCAGTTAAACAAGTGAATACAGGGTGCAATGATGGGTACGGCCCCAAGCACTGGCTTGTGGACCCCCGGGGGTCCAGGGACTGCAGTTTGAGAACCACTGGTTTACACTTTTCCAGATAAAAGTTGAAGAACATTAAAACAAAAGAACTTAAATATAAGTTGTTGTTTTTTCATGTTCTTTTGAGACATGTACTCAACTGTATATTCTCTGTGATCAAAAACAGAGAGAGACAAACAAGACAGTGACTGAAAAAAATGCTAAATACTGCAGCAACACAAATATACTGATCAGCTAATAATACAGCATGATGTAGCCTTTTGTTTTTAGGAAACAATACACAGTATGGGTGGAGATAAAATGCAACAAAATATAAACATCTAAAATTCCATTATAGTAGTTTTATCATTTGCATAGTTTACTAAAACATAGCAGTCTTTGTAATTTAATGGACTTGTTTATGAACTTGTATGCAGTTTTCTCTAAACAAACTACAGCATAATACAGCTGTTTTCTTTATCCCCCCCTTAAAGTTCATGGTTTTGTATTTTGAACTTTTTGACATTGTCTTGATGTTAGAATTTGACACAAGGACTCAAATAAAAATGAGGAAATACGACAGAAATAATCTAAAATAATGGGCTGACATGGCCACAACTTATTGATTAACACTAGGCGATCTAAATGTAATGGGCATAAGCAAAGCCTGGGACAAACCAGTATGGTGGGGTGAAGATGGCATGAAAACCAGGTGAAGAAGCACTGAGGGTGTAGTGAGCTAAGTGGTAACAGGTGAGTCTGATGTTTAATGGGAACAGGTGTGACAAGAGGGCCAGGAGACAGCAGCAGGGCTCTGGGAGAAAAATTGAAAACACATGGAAATACAGTACTGAACAAAAGTCGCAAACAAAAAAATTAATTAAAATACAAAGCGCAACCTAAGTAAAAACACGAATGTGAAAACAAAGACAACCAAGAAACTCAATGATACAAAATGATTAAATAACAAATCAGCAAAATTTAGGATCCTGACATGCACTGCCATGACCTTGGGCTCAGACATCCATGGTGACCTGATGGTGACGCGGGATCAGCATTTCAGAGTAGGTCGAAAAACAAAAAGTTTCAAATACTTTCACACTGCCAAAAAAGTACAAGAACTAAGATCCTTTTGGACCTCCAGGCTGATTAACCTGAGCGATAGCAAACCAAACAAATACATCAGTGACAAGATGAGGCAGATAGTACGAGCGTCTGCACGTCTAAGCAGAAACAAAATCACGAGGACAAATGAGAAATGTACGAAAAGGAAGCAGAAATGTGTGGAAAGTGAAGATAATAGTGATGACAGCAGGTTACAACATTACAGATCGTTATCCAGGAGAATGCAGTCCTACAAGGAACTAAGAAGAAGAAATATGGTGCTTAGAATGTGTTTCACGATGTCTTTTTGTTCGTCTTTGATCGTTGGCTGACTTTTTTGTCTCTGCCGACTCCCGTCCTGCAGCAGCCTCTGCTCCTGACAGCTCCTGAGTGATTTCTCCCAAAAAGCTTCCGTCTTTATTGACTCTCGGAGTGAACTCAGCCACCTGGCCAGTTTTCAAAGGACTAACAGGTGTCCTTCAAACTTCCAGCCTTGCGTCAACCCTATCTGTAAGTACAGCACAGAAATCCAGGTCTGATATGTCCAGTAGTCCTCAAGT